GAAAACAAAAATTCCGTTTGGGGATTTCCTTTTTTTTCCTTTCCCATCGGTTTAAAACCCAAAAAAAAAAAAAAAATTTAAATTTTTAACCCACCGCCCAACTTTAATTTTTCCCTTTGGGAAAAAAAAAAGCCCAAAATTCAACCCCCCCCCCCCAAAGGAAAAAAAAAAAAAAAAAAAACAATAAGTTGCATTTTCCCTTTCGGGAATTTTAAATTTTCCCCTTTAAAAAAAAAAAAAAAAAAACGTTTTTTTTCCGTTTTTTTTTTTTTTTGACTTTTTTTACTTAAAAAAAAAAAAACTAAAAAAAAAAAAAAAGATTTTCCATTTTTCCTTTTTTCCTTTTTTTTTTTTATTTTGTAAATCTTATTTTCAAAATTTTCTTTTTTACTTCTTCCACTAAATTTTAAAAAAACCTTCTGACGCGCTATATCGATGACTCGAATAAAATAAAATAAAAAAAATTTTTCCGAAAGGGAAAAACGAAAAAATTTTCCTTTCGACTTTGACAAATAAGATTAAATTTAATTTAAAGTTATTTTACCTTTGGGATAAATTTAAAAAAAAATTTTTTTTTTTTTACTTTCAAACCTCTTTAAATAAATAAATAAATAAACAAAACAAAAAAAAAAAAAATTTTTTTTGTCTTTTTAAATTTTATACTTCGTAGCACGACCTTATTAACCTTTCGAAAAAAAAAAATTTTCTTTTTTTTTATACCTTTCGGCATGATTTTCATTATCGAACACAAAAAAAAAATCGATTGAATTTTTTTCTATTTTTTGCAATATTTAAATATTAAATTTTGGCGTGGAAGGAAAAAAACTAACGTATTTTTTCATTTCCTTTCTCTCTCTCTCTCTCTCTCTTTCCCCACCTTTCTCACTCTCTCTTCAGTAAAATTCGAATTTAACGAAACGAGATTAAAAAAAAAAAAAAAAAAACGAACTCGATTAACGTACGAGACTTGAAAATACCAGAATTTGAAAGAGGCGCAAAAAAAAGAAAATTTTCCCTTTAAGTCTTCGTTACTTAATTAATTCATAATAATAATAATAATGATAAAGGCTGTGTTAACTTAATTAATTTTTAATAATAATAATGATAGTTAAAATGCCATCCCCCCCGTCTTGTCGTAAAAAAAATAATAATAATAACATAAAATTTCTAAAACTTTATAATAGTGGTAGAGAAACGTCACGAAAAACGTTGTTTGCAATTTTCTAAATTTTCCAACAGACGATTTTTTAAAAATAAAAACTTTAAACCGGAAATGATTACAAACTCGAAAAAATTTTCGTTACGTGGTTTTTTTTTTTCTTTGGTTATTTTCGAACGTTTTTTCGGGTTGAAACGAAAACGAGGGGGGAAGGGGGAAAACATTAACCGACGTCGGGTAATTTATATAACACGAAGATTTGATAAAAACCACCACCTGAAATTGTTTATCGTAGCAGACGACGGAAAAACTTTAGAAATATCCACGCACGTAAAAATGATAACGATAATAATAATAATAATTTTAAAAATTTCAAATCCTTTTTTTTTTTTTTTTGAGTGTTTTTCCCAGAAAGAAACCTTTCTACATTTTTTTTTTTTAAATGTGTTATTTTCTCGGGATTTTATTTTTTTCCAATTTGAACAGGATTAAAAAGAGAGAAAAAAAATATTTCGAAGGGAGGGTAGGGGAGGAAGGAAAGTGGAGGTTTATAAATGTTTCAGGTCGCTAATATTCTTTCCGGACAGGAAAAAAAAAAAGGCTCTCTTTCACTCACGAATGATCAAAGGATTAAAAGCTTTTGTTCTTTTTTTTTTCATTTTTTGGTTTTTTTTTTTTCTTTCACTTCATTTTCATTTTAATAAAAAGGGCAAAAAAAAAATAATAATAATAATAATAATAAAATTGTTGTAATTTACGCGAAAGAGACTCTCGAGCGTAGGAGATTTTCAGTTAAGTTTTCCATCGTAAATTATTACGCGTTCCCCTCTCTCTCTCTCTCTCTTATCATTTTTCGATTAAATTTAAAACTAAATTACGTTACCTTTTCCCTTTTATGCGTTATCACGTTGTAATTTTTTCACGTTCGAAAACTCTTTTTTTTTTTTCGAAAAAATGTT